TGAGAATTATATTGAAAATAAACACTTAGCCTCATTAATCTTATGTCTAACATAAGATTAATGAGGCTAACTTTATTTTCAATATAATTCTCAAATTTATAAGTCAAATGTCTATTTATCATTATGTTTTTTTAATATAATAAAATTTGGTGCTGGTCTCTTTGTGGGAGCATCATTACTGAAAACAAATTTGCAATCAATTGATAAAGTGACTTACAGTGTTGTGGAGTCAGAGTTGCCAGAGTTGGATGTTTTTGGGTGGAGTTGGAATCAGTTAAATATTTTTTACTCCAGCAACTTCACTCCTAAGTTTGCTATTGGTAAAATGTAAAGTAAGGAAAATACTTTTTAATTAATTAGTATCTAAAGAAATTTCTTAGAAAATGGACACTGATAAATTTAGATATCAATATGATATTAGCCCATAAAGGCCATTTCATAGCAGAATGTTATGCATATTCTATGCAACATGTTCTATACTTTCAGAAAATAGTTTTTATTAATTTAAGGCCCACTAGTAGCTGAGTACATAAAACCATTGAACACTTGTAGTTAGTTGTGGGATTGTGCCTGGAAAGTAAATGCTTATGGTATTGCTGTGGCTGCCATTTTGTTGTATATAATTGTAGTATATATAGAATAAGAACTCCTGTTTTTTTTCCTATAATTCTTCTCCCTTCCGTTTTTAACCCTTTTTGTCATGTGACAGGAGCTGTACTATTTGTGGGTCCAGGTTGGCCAATTTACAAAGGGACAGGCAGGGGGTCCTGCCTGAAGCTACCAATAGACACGAGGTGAGGATAAAGGACACTTTTGGGTTTGCCACCAAGGAGAGAGGTCAAGCAAGAGTGACTGATGTAAGAATGCCGATTGGGGGGAATTTTATTCCCTACTGTCGGGATGGTCTAGGGTCTAAGTGTATGTGGGTGGCAGTTTAGAGAGGCAGCAAAAGACAAGTGTTTTACAGAGGCAAACCGTTTATTCTTGATCGAAAATGCTTACATAAATTTTTTCGTTGGAAAGGTCCTTAGATTCCAAACTTTAAGATGTCTTTGGATTCGATCCAATTCTGTGTTGTAGGTGTTTCAGATGTAATCTGGTCCAGTGTCGTAGGAGTTTTGACGGTGATCTGGTCCAGCGTCATAGGGATTTTTGGCGGCGATCTGGTCTAGCATTGCAGGGGCTCCTGGAGAGTGTGGAGTAAAAAGTTCAAAGTCTCGAGAGACAGTACATGAAAGATGAACGGAGGTTCAAAAAAAATGGAGATACACCAACACAACAGAAGTTTAGTGGAAAGTCTTAGTGGAAGTCTTGTTGCCCTTGGAATTGGTGTTTTTATAAGTTTTTCGAGATCAACTTTTTGCTAATTGGACAGACTTTACATCATTGTTTTCTAATTGGTCTTCCACCCGTCTCCAGGTGTAAATGGAGCTTTGTAAAGTTCGCGGGAAAGGTCGGCTGGAGATGGTTTATCCGACACCATCTTTTAGACTCTGATCGCGTTTAATTGTTGACTATGACACCTATGCTCATTTTGATATTTTTTTAGTTTCGTTTTGCTTTCTAAACTGCGTCTTAACTTTAATATTTTAAATTTTCTTCTTTTATATCTAAAATTTTGTTTTTCCTTCTACTCTTTATGAGCGTCGACGTCAAAGTCTGGTGTCACCGTTTCGACACTTACATAATTTGTTTTTTTGACGATTTATTTTTCGGGGGGGCTATTTCCGGGGCCTCACATATACTACCAAGTAAGCTTACTTTGTACAAACTTGTTCAAAGGTTTCTGAAACTGAGTTTGCTGCAGACAGGCTAAGAAGTGGAAGGTATCCCATGCCATTTTTGAGGATGTGCTGCAAAGGCTGACAATGTCCCCAAGAAAGTCTTTGAGATGACTCTCTCAGCAATCAGGAATATCACTATGGTTCATACACAGGGCTTTCAAGCAAATTAAATTTTACCTCTACTGTATGAGAGTGGTTGCATGAAGCGTTGTGAGATATGATAATGCTTCTGTAACTGGTTCCACAGATTTCAATGAAACAATGTCACCATCTTCAACAAGATTTTTTACACAGATGGGGTTCATGGTTTCATTTAAATGGATATGTGAGTTCACAGAACACACAAATCTGATCAGCAGAAACTTGCAAACCTATCACTGCATCTGCAAAAGGTTGGTGTTTAGTGTGCAGTGTCTCAGCACAAAAATTACTGGTTTCTGCAAGACAGGATAATATGCCATATGCTGTGAGAAAGCATGACTATGCTCTGAGATATTTTTGAATACTTTATAATTTCTACAGACTTGTGGCCACTCCAATCCTCAGATTTGACTTTGCCAGATTTCTTTTTATGGAGGAATTTAAAAGATAGAGCTTATGTAAATAATTCCTACAATCTGGATGGCCTGAAACACAACATTTCAGTAAGCATAGCAGTTATCATGCCAATAACATAAATAAAACTATTTGCTGTAGAGTGGATCTCTGCCTCTAGATGGAAAATGGGTACTACTAGCAACTGCTGTAAAATTTCTGAGTACTGTATATGGTCTATATATGTATTTTATTCATTTATATTTTGTGCACAAGTCATGTTTTAAACATATAAAAGTTGGAACCAAATACAACTAAACATCATATACCTTTAACAAAAATTGCCAGGACAAATTCATATTTAGAAGAAAAAATATGTTTCTTACTAGACTATACATATACATGATTCCATATCTTCTATCCCTTCACACGCTTATTGTAGAGGCATTAACAAGTCTACGGTGGAACCGTCCTTTTATTTGAGGCTACTGTCCGCCAACAAGTTAAAAACTCCTGTAGCAGTAGCACACACTTTTTAACTTTTTTACATTGTTTGGCGGACAGTAGCCTCAAATAAAAGGATGGTTCTGCCGTAGACTTGTTAATGCCTCTACAATAAGCGTGTGAAGAAATAGAAGATATGAAGGACTCATGTATATGTATAGTCTAATAAGAAATATATTTTTTCTTCTAAATATCATATACCTTTCTTACTTTTCCAGCATTCACTTTAATAAAATAGTAAATGTTTTCAATTTTTAGGGATTGGAACCATTTGAATAAGTAAAGAGCTTTTATGTTTCAAAAAGTATGTGGAAAGTGTTTTGAAAAGTAAGAAAGGTGTATGGTGTTTAGGTCATGTTTTATTAATAAAAAACTTTGAGAGATTGAGTAAGAGAACTTTTGGTATACACCCAGTAGTATTCACTACCAAATTAGAATATTAACTACTAATATTCTATATTATATTAGTACAGCAGAGCATCGATTATCCGACTCAATTGGGGACTCAGGTTGATCGGATAACTGAAAAAATCGGATAACCGAAAAGAATGAAAAAAATACATTATTAGTATAGTATATTAGGATATCCCATGTAATTAGTATATTAAGATATCGCTATTAACCAACTTCGCGTTGGATTTTCATCGATATTTAGCCTAACAAATTTTTTTTAAAATAATAATCGTCACTATTGTAACATTAAAAATTATTTTTAAATTATTTTATTGCTCACAAAACAAACAACCACTCATAATTAGAAAATTAAGTCTCGTTTAAATACTGGCCTCCCTTCAATGGTCGAGCCGGTGTTGACCTCCCCAATTAACTGATGTGACAGTTAATTGGGGAGGGGTCAGATAATCGAAGCTCTACTGTATATATATAAAATAGATGATAATATATTAATAATTAATATATGTAAAAATGCCATATTTTTCATTCAGTATTTATAACAATGTAAACTACATTGCTTATGAAATCAAACACATTATTTTTATTTTTTTCACATTTTCTGTCTGCCAGGCACTTATTAATAGAGCCTTTTCTCATGCTCATCAAGAATTTGGACAGATGGTGAGAGATCAGGCCTAACATGTCTGAGCCATCCTATCCATGAAAATTTATAAGCTGACATAAATTTCAGCTTATGTCAGCTTAAAACAAAATTTACATTTTGAATTTATTAATTCATATAGTTATATGCAATACTATGTAAATATTCTACTATATTTTCCCTATTGTAATTTAAAACTTTTCTCAATTCCTTTGGTCAGCTTTATCATAACATCTATGTTCATGCTGATGTTGAAAATCTGCTATTGCTCTTTCATCACACATAAATTCATCATATAAAAATCTATAAATTTATGACTTGTTATTTATATTTATATGTATTTTACCAATGTCTCAAAAAAGAAAACATCTGCCTGCTATGTATGCAAAAATTCTTAAGTTTCTGTCATTCAAATGATGGTCACCCAATTAATTATCACTCAGTTGACCATCACCAGCTATTGCACATCCTGCTGATACCCTTTCCAATCCTTGGTGGTCACTTTTTGAGATTTAAATACTTATGTTTTCTTTTATCGATTGTTTATATTTATTATATGTATTTTATTTTTTATTTATATATTTCTTGTTTTTTATGTTATTTAAATTTCTTGTTCACATGGACAACATTTATGTACAGTACTATTGTTAAATTGTACACATTTTTTTAATTGAAATTTCTGCTTTATTAATTATTTATTATGTATTTTATTCATATTTATTTATTTATTACATCACAAGTAAGAAGTGCCAGTTGGCTATTGATCTCCAGCTTCTGTTTAACAACATTCCAACAACAATAAAAATAAACATATAAAAACACGTAAAAAACCCAATACCATACATTTATTATTTCTTGTTCCTATATTAATTCAAACATTACATTCTATTTTTAAACTGTATTCTTTTATTCAATGTTGCTGTTAACTGAAGGTCAGTTAAACTGATTGAAAAAATTCTTAATTTTAATAAATATGTTGCTAGGATTATGAAGGTGATTTTTTTGTGTGTTATATAATTGTATATGATGTATAAAAACGTTAATATTAAATAGCAATATTACAAATTAATTTATCTCTAAAAATATAATTTTATATTTTCTTTAAAATATAAATTTAAATATACCTTTACATTCTTGAAAGTTTTGCTCAAATTACATTTTAGACATTCCAGAAAATCATTATTTACTCCATCTGTCTTAATAAAAATTTGTATTCCTTCTGAAATAAGATAAAATTGATTACTTGTTATTTAAAATTATATATAAATACTTTTTCTTTATTATATTATTGAATAGTTTACTTTTTTGTATAAGCTACAAGGTTTACACTTACTTGCATTTGATGTGTAAATCAGTTTTTCCACCCAATTTCACATTTGCTGAAACTGATTTTTTGATTTTATGTATTTATAAGGCTACTTTAATTCTGCTTTATGGTGTTTTAACTAACTTTGATGGCAATGTATCACAATATGTAATACATTACTGATCTGTCATTTTTATGACAATTTACAGAAATGGAATATGAATGAGACAGCAATTAAGACAGTGCTTTTCATACTTACAGTAATATATGTAACTCTACATACAATTACAATAACTGCAAGATAAAATTACCAAGTTGGGGTGCTGCTATTAGAAAAGCATTGAAAAACACTAAATTAGAGCCAATTACTTAATAAAATAAAGCAAAATTTATGCTTCTAAAAGAAAGACTAGGCTCAATATTGCAAAAAAAAAATCTATAATGGAAATAAAAACTTGAGAGATTTTCAAGGCTAATCCAGGGGTCGACAACCTTTTGAGTCGGAAGAGCCAAAAATTACAATTTACAAAATTTCAAAGTTTTTAAAGAGCCACAAAATTTTTTCTTGCCAACAATAAATAGTACTCGCATAAATAAAGTTTTTTGAAAAAAAAAAACTAATCTATTTATTCAGAATTGTCTTGCGTCGAAAGCGAATTAAATCTCATAGAAACATTTGACAACGGCTTTATTCGAGAGCTTCCGACGGACTGATGACAGTGACGATGCGTGTCACGGGGGAGGGGTGCAATGAAAAACGAGTACAAGTGACTGAGAGATAGAATCGGTGCCTAATCCTCGTTAATCGATTCAGAACGATTTTTAAATGTTTTTTTTATAAAATAAATAATATTTGCGTA